AAATACAGCTGATTGGACAGTCAAAGTGCATGTATAGTTCCCTCCAAAAGTATTGAAACAGCAAGGCAAATTACATTGATTTTCTTATACACTGAAGTCATCTGCGTTTAATATCAAAAGATGAGCATGAGACAAGAGTTCAGAGTTTCAGTTTTTATTTCCTAGTATTTACATGTAGATGTGTTAAATAAATCAGGACATACCACTGTTAAGATATTTTTGGACTGGTCCTATGGTTTTGATCTGCTCAGAGACGGGATTATAAAGAAATTATGACCAGGTTCTGATTGGGTTAAACATGGCCAGCAGCTTTTAGAGAGTCTCTCTGGGATTCAATATCTGTCACGGAATAGAGTTTAATCTGCTTGCCACATCACGTAGAAAGGCTTTTTGAAGCACCTCATATTTCCTAACACATCAGAACCACATAAGATCCACTGAGATCACACGTAGTCACGCCGCCTCATACACTGACAGGTTGAGCTCCCCTTCTGCAAAGGAGGAGTCTAGGTCCCTATAAATGAGTAATGACATGGGACATCGGGGTTCTTCCAGGTCTGTGAACGCGTCACAGACCGGAGAGTCCAGCGCTGTAAATTGTAACTTTTTCCTGCCTCGATTTTAATACAATTGGTAAAACTCAATTGACGTTTCCTTGATTTATTGATAATGAGAGTTGCCACTTCTGAGGGAGGTTCGAGCCGGGGGGAAAGACGTGGGCTGGAGGGGATTTCCGGGTCCAGTGGCCCGCAGCCAGCTTCCGTCTTTAACAGCTGGTGCCTGAAACCCGGTCTCCCGTCTTTGGAAGTGGTAGATGCTTGTTTCATATTGTTTAATGGTGACACAGCAGCAGGTGACCAAGTCAGAGCAGACTGTTTCTAGCAGACTTTTAACATGAGGTAAGCAGAAAACCTGTTAAATCGAATTTCTGCATGTCCCTTAAGGACTTCAGGCCTCTCTGTTTTCGGTCTGGTGCACACAGTTTAGTGAACTAAAAGGCAGTAGAACGTTACAGTATAATACGTGATTTTGTGAGTGTATTTATCAGACGTAACAATTTATATACGTGACTTTTTTTCGCCTGGCCGCGCAGGGAGCAAGCCAGAAGCGTTGGCAACAACGCTAACCGTAAGTGGTACGCGAGCGTTATAAACACAGAAAACGTTAATTGTGCGCTAAAATTAAGCTTCGTCCAGTTGATTTAAATGCCTGTATATAAATTGTTGTTTGTTTATTGAAGAGATACAGAGGATACGACGTGACTGACGGTTTAAGAGCCCCACGTAAAAATTGTGACGTCATTTTTGCTGACGGTAGAATCTTTACGAGAAATGTGCTCAGTCCGAAAGACGTTCCGGGTGTAATTACCCGTCGCTGTTTATCAGAAACTTGTTAAAACTTGGATGTCTGGACAGTGTCAAGAGGTGGGTCATGTGACAGTTCGAAGAAAACTCTACGTGGTTTTTGGGTGCCTGTGGGGAGAAATTATTACCTCCTCGAATGAAAGTGATGACCTCGGGTTTCTGTTTATTATAGCCTCCTTAGGTCTGTAGCAAAGGAAAACAGACTGGTCAGCAGTGCATCCCTGAGCGACATAGCTGTTGTTATATATATATATATATATATTTATACATTTTTATTCTTGTCTACTTTTGGTCGGGGCTGTACATCTGATATGGCAGAATCCTTAAAATACACCTAAATTTGAATGATCCCTAGAAAGAATCTAGAAGTAGAATGGTCCCTAGGAAGAACCTAGAAGGGGTACCTTAGAATTTGTGGAGTGTTGCTATGGTAAACATAGGGATAATTAGAAATCTTTAGAACAAGCAGAGAGGGACAGATAGATAATTTTCATGGTCAAGAGAGAGTAAAATGTTTTTGTTGGATTAGGGTTTTGCAGATGAGGATATGGATTTATTAAAAACAGGGACATATAGCTTTTTAGAATAAGCAATGAGGGAAATATGTTTTTATAAGTTGAGGGACAGACAAGAACCTTAGTTAGGCAGGAATAGGGAAATATAACATTGTAAATGTCATGTATATTTGTTACATGAATTATGTTGGAATGTGAGTGTCTGCTGTATGAATGATAGTGTATGTTTGTTAATGTATAACTGATATGGGTTACTTTACAGATATTGATAAGATTGAAAACTGATAACTTTAGCAGCCATCTAGTACAAGGTCACTTAACGACAGGAAATGTACATAGACTTATAAAACCCAAGGCGGAGGAAATCATCAAACATCAGGCATAAAATTGGTAAGTGACCTTTTTATATTAACATAAATTTATTTAAATAACTTTTGAAGACCAACAGGTACAGTTCAATTTGGGAGCCCAGACAGAAAACCGAAATCTCCACACTCAAGTTGATGTGAGTAGATGAATACACAAAGACCTTCTCTCTGAAGATAATGTGACAGGTCAAAGATGTTTTTCATTTACCACAGTACAGGTCCTTCTCAAAAAATTAGCATATTGTGATAAAGTATATTGTGATTTTCCATAATGTAACGGTAAAAATGAAACTTTCATATATTTCAGATTCATTGCACACCAACTGAAATATTTCAGGTTTTTAATTGTTTTAATACTGATTATGGCATACAGATCATGAAAACCCAAAATGCCTGTCCCAAAAAAATTAGCATACCATGAAAAGGTTCTCTAAACAAGCTATTAACCTAACCATCTGAATCAACGACGTAACTCTAAACACCTGCAAAAGATTCCTGAGGCTTTTAAAAACTCCCAGCCTTGTTCGTTACTCAAAACCGCAATCATGGGTAAGACTGCCGACCTGACTGTTGTCCAAAAGACCATCATTGACACCCTCAAGCAAGAGGGTAAGACACAGAAAGAAATTGCTGAACGAATAGGCTGTTCCCAGAGACCTGTATAAAGGCACCTCAGTGGGAAGTCTGTGGGAAGGGAAAAGTGTGGCAGAAAATGCTGCACAACGAGAAGAGGTGACCGGACCCTGAGGAGGGTTGTGGAGAAGGGGCGATTCCAGACCTCGGGGGACCTGCGGAAGCAGTGGACTGAGTCTGGAGTAGAAACATCCAGAGCCACCGTGCACAGGCGTGTGCAGGAAATGGGTTACAGGTGCCACATTCCCCAGGTCAAACCACTTTTGAACCAGAAACAGCGGCAGAAGCGCCTGACCTGGGCTACAGAGAAGCAGCACTGGACTGTTGCTCAGTGGCCCAAAGTACTTTTTTTGGATGAAAGCAAATTTTGCATGTCATTTGGAAATCAAGGTGCCAGAGTCTGGAGGAAGACTGGGGAGAAGGAAATGCCCAAATGCCAGAAGTCCAGAGTGAAGCACCCACAGTCAGTGATGGTCTGGGGTGCCATGTCAGCTGCTGGTGTTGATCCACTGTGTTTTATCAAGGGCAGGGTCAATGCAGCTAGCTATCAGGAGATTTTGGAGCACTTCATGCTTCCATCTGCTGAAAAGCTTTATGGAGATGAAGATTTCATTTTTCAGCACAACCTGGCACCTGCTCACAGTGCCAAAACCACTGGTAAATGGTTTACTGACCATGGTATTACTGTGCTCAATTGGCCTGCCAACTCTCCTGACCTGAACCCCATAGAGAACCTGTGGGATATTGTGAAGAGAAAGTTGAGAGACGCAAGACCCAACACTCTGGATGAGCTTAAGGCCGCTATCGAAGCATCCTGGGCCTCCATAACACCTCAGCAGTGCCACAGGCTGATTGCCTCCATGCCACGCCGCATTGAAGCAGTCATTCATGCAAAAGGATTCCCGACCAAGTATTGAGTACATAACTGAACATGATTTGAAGGTTGGCGGTTTTTGTATTAAAAACACTTGTCTTTCATTGGTGGGATGAAATATGCTAATTTTTTGGGACAGGCATTTTGGGTTTTCATGAGCTGTATGCCATAATCATCAGTATTAAAACAATTAAAGACCTGAAATATTTCAGTTGGTGTGCAATGAATCTGAAATATATGAAAGTTTCATTTTTATCATTACATTATGGAAAATAATGACCTTTATCACAATATGCTAATTTTTTGAGAAGGACCTGTAGCACTTTTCTATCTTATTTCAAGATACTCAAAGCGCTTTACACTACAATCTGTGTCCTCATTTACCCATTCATACATCACTCTACTAGATCCCTACAAAGCTAATGGAACAAATCATTTTAATGAGACTAATCAGTGCTTTAGATCACATTCATACACTGATGGGACACACATCAGAGACTATGAGGGGTTTAGTGTCTTGCCCAGAGACACATGCGACTGCTGGTGGATTCAAACCCCCAACTCTCGCATTGGAGGACGACTGCTCTAACCACTCAGCCACAGCCGCTCCAATCCTAGAGGAAACCCTGCACTAACAATAATAATATAAATAAGGTGTAGTAAACAGCAGCCTGAACATGAGTCTGAGCAGATGAGTATAAATATTGCAGCTTAGGGGTAAGAAATCAGCAGCACAGATAAAATGTCCAATGTCCAATTAAAGCAGGTTTGACAAACTCACAAAACGGGGCCAAAATTATAACCTTTTTTAAACGAAGGCCAATTTCAGAATCTACATCAACTCAAATCAGATATCCAACATCTTTTCTTGGTCACAGGTTTCTCAACAAGAGTTTGATTGGTCTCATTTGTTCTCTTTTGTGCTTTCGACATCATAATCAAAAAATACTGAAAAAAAAAAAAAAATTCAAGAGATAGAAGTATTTTACGTTTCACATATCATCTTGGGGGCCAGAAAAGACGTCGACGAGGGCCACATAAGGCCCCCGGGCCTTGAGTTTGACACATACAGTAGGAATTAAAGTGTCACTACAGTGATTTGTCTGGTTAGGAATTTAAGAGTCTTACAGCTTCAGGGTAGAAGTTGTTCCTCAGTCTAGTGGTTCAAATTCAATTAAATTATGTACCTAAAGATTTCCATTTATTCATCTCCTAAATCTGGAAGTATAAAGATGGTTATACTCACTCTGAGAATCCCTTCCATTTCAGCAGAAACTCCACTTTGCCCTTGACAACTCGACGGTCAAGAACTTTTTCTACCACATACTCCTCTTCCTCCTCCTCCTCAGCAGCACCAGCAGCAGCTGGTGTTGATGCTGCTGGTGGTGCTATTGCTGCAGCATCTGCAGCTGGGGGGGCTGGCTGCTGCGGCTCCTCCTCCTCAACCTTCTTGCCTTTCTTTACTGCTACGGTCGCCAGTTTGACGCTTGCAGAGATCCCTTGGTGTGGGCACAGGACAAAACAAGAAAAGGTGGCATTAAAAACACAATACCAGAACAAGATAAGTGCTATGCCTAAAAAAGTTAAATCTGGTCCTCTGAACATTCAAAAAAAACAAAACAAAGCAAATCAACAAAAAAATGTAGAAACGTTTCGTCTCTCATCCGAGAGACTTCCTCAGTTTGAGGAGTTGTATTCAGCTCAGTCTCTTAAATAGCACCGTCTCAGGGTGGATCAACCAGTTTTGCTGCTGACAACCAAAACCAGCTGATCACATGCTCAAGAAGGACCATCAGCCTAACAATGGATCATTAGCACACTGATGGCTGTTTACTACTCACAGAGGGCTGAGTGATACTAGCAATCACAGCATTGTAAGAGGGGGACAGTTGAACCCGGAGGCCTCCACCCCTGTTTAATGATGGACGGTTTCTTTTCACAAAGATGGCCTCCTTTACTCCTCTCTCAAACCATCGTTCCTCTCTATCCAGGATGTGAACATCTTCATCCCTGAAAGAGTGACCGCTGGCCTGGAGATGAGTGTAGACCGCAGAGTCCTGGCCTGATGATGTTGATCTTCTGTGCTGGGCCATCCTTTTGGCCAGTGGCTGTTTTGTTTCCCCGATGTAAGACTGATCACAGCCCTCCTGACACTGAACAGCATACACAACATTGCTCTGTTTGTGCCGGGGGACTGGATCTTTGGGATGAACCAGTCTTTGCCGTAATGTATTTTGGGGTTTAAAAGCCACTGGGACGTTATGTTTAGAAAATAAACGTCTCAGTTTCTCTGATACTCCCTCAACATATGGAATGACCACTGGTCTGGGTCTGGGTTCCTCCTTTTCACCTGTTGGCTGACTGGAGTCCTGTTTGGGTTTCTTCTCTGCTTTCAGGAAGGCCCAGTTAGGATATCCACATTGCTCTAGAGCCTGTCTTGTGTGGGATTTCTCCTTCTGCCTGGCTCCTGAGCTAGTGGGGACGCTGTCTGCTCTGTGATACAGAGTCCTGATAACTCCTAACTTGTGCTCCAAAGGGTGATGGGAGTCAAACTGTAAATACTGGTCTGTGTGTGTGGGTTTGCGGTACACCTCAGTTTGCAAATGTCCTCTATCAGAGACTGAGACCTCACAGTCCAAGAAAGCCAACCTGTCATTTTTTACATCTTCTCGTGTGAACTTGATATATTTATCCACAGAGTTGATGTGGTCAGTAAAATGTTGGACTTCCTGAGATTTGATTTTAACCCAGGTGTCGTCAACATACCTGAACCAATGACTTGGTGGTGTCCCTGAAAAGGACGTCAAGGCTCTCTTTTCTACCTCCTCCATGTACAGGTTGGCAACAATAGGAGAAACTGGAGACCCCATAGCACACCCATGTTTCTGCCTATAATATTGCTCCCCATATGTGAAGTAGGTTGACTGCAGGCACAGTTTCAAAGGTCCATCAAGGTTCAAACCGTCCATCATTAAACAGGGGTGGAGGCCTCCGGGTTCAACTGTCCCCCTCTTACAATGCTGTGATTGCTAGTATCACTCAGCCCTCTGTGAGTAGTAAACAGCCATCAGTGTGCTAATGATCCATTCTTATGCTGATGGTCCTTCTTGAGCATGTGATCAGCTGGTTTTGGTTGTCAGCAGCAAAACTGGTTGATCCACCCTGAGACGGTGCTATTTAAGAGACTGAGCTGAATACAGCTCCTCAGACTGAGGAAGTCTCTCGGATGAGAGACGAAACGTTTCTACATTTTTTTGTTGATTTGCTTTGTTTTGTTTTTTTTTTGAATGTCCAGAGGACCAGATTTAACTTTTTTAGATTTTTCTACCTGGATTATTGAGCATGCATCAGGATATAAGTGCTATGTGTTGTCATCATTTTATGTTCCCATACAATGGCAAAATTAGTTCTCAGCATTTAACCCATCGCACCTGGGATACACCCAGGTGGAGAAATGGGCAGCTATGCAAAGGCCCGGGGAGCAATTGGGGATTAGGTGTCTTGCTCAGACACTACGACATATGGGAATGGCTAGGGATCGAACCTGGGACTTCTAGGTCTCACTTAAGCTCCCAAGTCAGCTGCCCTGCCTCTACCCCATCTCAGCCCCCCCAAACAATTAAGTCAATCAACAGACAGTAATATTTACCAAACATTTAATTTGAATTATGCATGAATAGATGCAACAGTGATGAATGCGAATGTACGTAGTCTTTAAAAACACAAACTGTCAGTTACTGGAAGGTAAAACAAGACTAGCAACAAATAGAGGCTTTTTAAGGGCTTCAGCTTTAAGTTCACACACAAGGTTCTGTTTTCATCTTTCCTTGTAATTCTCAGTTTGGATCATAAAATGCCTCAAAATTATACAAACAAGGCTGCACAGTATCATAGTGGTTTTACCTTGAAGCAGCTGTATATTTCTCAAGAAGAAAAATATTTGTTCTTTCTCCTGGTGCGACTTGCAGCTACTTCAAAAAACGTTCCAATACAAAAACAACTGGACTTTATTTGTAACAGAAGACGTTTCTCTCCTCATTCGAGGAGCTTTCTCAGTTCAATGAGCAGTAAGTGAGAGATTCAGGTTATAAGGCTGAGTGAGATAAGACACACACACATATGTACATTTGACAAGTCACACCTCAACACCTTAACAGTAGGGGTTTCTTAATGTCTTTGTTACTCTAATTCACAGATGAGACCTTTCTGTTCCCATCAAGTGTGAAAACCGGCTGGGAATCTGTCTTAAAGTTGCATTATAGGTTTTTGAAAGTGGAAATCTGAGGCCCCCTCCTCTGTTAAGAGATGTTTTTTCCCTTTCTACATAAATTGCTTCCTTCACCCTCCTCTCAAACCATCTGTGTTTTCGGTCGGACTTGCAGCTACATCTGTGCGGAACTTTTTTTTCCTTTGTGGTGCCCAAGAACCTTTGTGTAGTTTGGTCAGAAATTTGTTGCCTGCTTACGTCCTCGTATTTCTGCCAATGCAGACGCTTGTACAATTTACTTTGCAGCAGCAGCTGGCGGTAGCTGTAGAAAAATCGATATTACATGTAGGCCTCTCGTGATAAACAAATCAATTAATCACACGATGAATGAAAATTATCGACCTCATTTTCATTTATCGGCTTTATCGTTTCTTCATGTCTTTCTCTTTCTACTGAAGACACTGGATAGCAAAAAGCTTAACTCCGGTGCTCTTCACTGACCCCTCCCTTTCTCTTTAAAATCAGTTTTAACATCCAAAATCACATTTTTGGATCGTTAAAAGCAGCTAAGCTGAGAAGCTAAGCTACGAGCTAAGCTAACAGGTCGACCTCGGGAAAAACCTCCGTTTTGTCGAAGCTACAAAATTCATGGTTGAAACCCATGCCTAGGTGTAAAAAGTTGTTTTTCTCTGCAAAAAGAAGCTGAGAACTTGTTTACTGATTTTTTATTTTTTATTTAAAGCTTTGTGTGACAAATGCTATGCTAAAGAGCTCAAAACATTCCGAGCATCTGCCATTTTGAAAACAGAAAAACAACTATGAGAGACAGCCCATCACAAGGGGACTCCCTCACATTTTTCTTAAGACACGCTGCTGCTTGCTCCCTCACTATCATGAATCCTTCGGGTTAAACTAGGGCTGGACGATACGGCCAAAACTTTTATCACGATATATCTCTCAATTTCGGTCGATAACTATATAATTCGATATCGATATAAACAATATAAAAGCCTCAGAAATACTACAAACTATACAAATAAATTAATGTTCACCTTTTATTTGTATTTAGCCTTCAAAAAAAGTGAAATCACTGTCAAATAAACATAAAATTCTCAACTTTGTCAATATTAATAGTTTTAACTTTAAACAACAACTTTAAAATTGACAGCATTGAAATTCATTGTTAATGAAATCAAATTTTTAGGTGTCGTTATTGATGAGAAGCTGACATGGAAATCTCATGTAAATTACTTAAAAATAAAAATAATCAATTGCATTACTGTATAAAGTAAGAGTTTTGAATGACAAAGCTTTGTATATATTGTATAATGTAATGATTGTTCCATATTTAATCTATTGTAATGAAGTTTGGGGAAAAGCATGCAAAACAATTACAAATCCTATTTTTATTTTTTACAAAAAAGAGCTATAAGAATTATTAGTATTATAAAGTGCTATGGTCACCCAACAAATATATTATTTCATCAATTGAAATTATTAAAATGTTATGATTTGGTTGAATATAATATTTTACAAGTCATGTATAAAGCTCATAAAAATATTAGCCCCAAATATTCAAGTAAAATTTGTAAAAAATATAAAAAAAAGGAGAGTCAATATAGAGTCCATAACCTAAAGGGAATGGAAATGTTTGTAAAACCTCCATTTAGAACTAGTCTGAAGGAGCTGTGTTGTAATTCAGATAATAGGATTATGGAATTGCCTTGATATCACCATAAAATTTTCTAAAACAATTTATATGTTTAAAAAGATGATAGTTAAAGTTGTTGGGAAGGTATAATACCAGGTGAAGGATACCGGAAGCTCTTTTGTTTTCAGTTTGGAGATTGTTCATGTCAAGGTTGTTGTTCGTTTGTAGTTATTTTGTATTTTTTAAATAAGGGGCAGATACATTTTTTTTTTCTTCTTTCTGCAACCATTTCATTCAACGTTTTTTTTTTCTCTGATGAATTTGTTTTATTTGAAATGAATGAATAAATGATAAAAACAACAACAACAACAAAAACATGCTGCGCTGGGGGGGTTTCAGGGACACATTGGCTCAAACTTTTATTGTGCTTCATCTTGTGACTCAGCATATTCTGTCAAGTGGAACAAGTTAGATGTTCCAACTGCTAGTTAGAATGACTCTTGGTCAGGATCTTAGAAAGCCAAACCACTTCCAGACCAGCAAATTAGTCTTTTCTCTCTCATCAGTGATGTCATCTGCTTTCTCTTCGCTTGTGAAAGCTTGTTCAGTCACATTATGACTATCATGGGCACTCATTTTGA